AAGAATTAAGAACATAAAAGAAGAAGTAGGGACACAGACAAATGAACTACAAAGGCTATTCACAGAAATAATCCAGGAGAATTTCTCTAATTTAGCAAAAGGTAAAGATACTCAGATGTATGAGACATACAGGAACCCAGCCACCTACAACCTAAACAGAACTACACCCAGGCATATAATAATAAAAATTCCAAAAATCCAATATAAGAACAGAATATTAAAAGCCATCAGAGACAAGAAACAGATCACTTACAAGGGAACACCCATCAGAATTACAACAGACTTCTTGGCACAAACCATCAAATCATGGGGGAAATAATTCAAACTTTGAAAGATAATAACCTCTAGCCAAGATTGATATATCCTGCACAACTGTCCCTAGAAATTGATGGAAAAACAAGGTGCTTCCAGGATAAAGAGGAACTAGGGGAATTTGCAAAGACCAATTCAACTCTACAGAGAATACTGCAGGACATTCTAAAAAAGAAAAATACCAAGATTCCAGAAACAGTGGCAGAGAGGCCACAGTGAGTGGAGCAGAAAGCGAAATGAAGAAGACAAACTGACAACTACTGACAGAAAAAGTGCTCAACAGAAATGAGGCAGAGAAGGTTGGATGATAGGAACAGCTATTTTAGAAAAAACAAGACATCATAATAGGTAGTGCTGATTTAATATCATCTTGTTTTGAAGTCCCATCAAGCTTTTGTTCTTCTGTGTCCATCGGTCTTAATGTGTAGTATCTTATTGGATTTTATTATATGTGATAATATAAACAAAAACTTTTATAGACAAGGAGATTATACAGAAACCATTGTTCATTTTCTGTTAATTGATTCTAAATATCCTGTAATACTGTCATTCTCTTGAATGGTTTTACATTGTCTTGATATGTTTGATGCTACAGTATACAAAGTTATAGTCAAAGATTTCAAGGAAAGAGACACTATGGTAACTGCTTTTATGTCGGGATATATTGTGGTGAAACACTATTTTGCTTAAATGGTTATGTTCTGACCTATGCTGTTTTGTTGTTATGTTCTCTTTTATCTCAATCTTTTTTTTATTATTTACTTTTTATTTTTATCTTTTTAATTAAGGGAAAAATAAATAAAAAATAGCAGGACACATTATAGTAACCACTTTGATTTTCTATTAACTTGATTTGAAACCCTGTATTGCTCTCACCATCTTGTTTTGACTGATTTTCCTCTACTCTGTTTTGCTTGATAGTACCAAGTTCGAAAGTATAGGCAACAACTGTGAAGACAATAAGATTCATTATGATGCCCATTCTGGTTTGACTATTGTCTTCTTTTGAAGTCCTGTAATGTCTCCAATGTTTTGGTTTTATTCTTTACTGTTTTGTTCAATTTTATTATAACTGATGATATAGGCAATTCTTTTTAAGATAGCAAGAGGCATTATGGTAACCATTATTGATCGCCTTGTATTTTGTTTTTACATTATGTATCATGTTCATCCTTTTGATTTGACTGACTCTGTTTTGTTATGTCACATTTGGTTTTATTCTCTTCAAAAAAAGTAATAAGAACTGTGGGAGTAAAAAAACCCAAAATGTGTAATTGTCATTGTACAAAAGAGAGAAAAGGAAAGTGCTCTAATGGATATAACTGCATTATATTTAAGTGTATAAGATAAATAACCATATTACTGAGTTTTGTTGGATCATTGAACAGAACTGTTTTCAGTCTCACTGTTTGAATGTGTACTTTATATGCTTTAATTTTGTAACTTGAACAACAATTTCTAAGATGACAATATGTATCTATTAACTAGTGATTTCCTACTGTTTATTTTTTCTGAAATTCTGTATAACTTGTACCCTTTTTCTGTTTTTTTTTCTCCTTAAATAAATTTAAAAAAATAAAACCAGTAGGGATATCTTTTACATCTTGTCATCTTCAGAGTAGTTGCCTCTACTTTTAGACTCCATACTGTCAAGCATCCCAAATTCAAATAAAATCAGCCAAGGTAAAACTGCGGTCTAACAAATCAGATTCAAAAAAGGTCCGTCATAGTAAGACAATGTAAGTAATACAGGGTTTCAGTTTAAGTTAATAGGAAATTAAGAATAGTTACCATGGTATAACCTGCTATTTTTGGGTTAGATGTCGGTGCTCTCAAATTATATATGAGAACAGGAAAAATAAATTCAAACTAAACAGAGCGATAAGACTTCTGTGAACAGTTTTATTCTCAAATGGCTGATGTACAGTGACTTTGTATTCTTAAGAAGAGAATAAGCTGACATTCCTGCTTTGCTCTATTTTTTGTTCTAATCATATGCATAAAATGTAAACTCTTTAGTGGTCTACAGAACTTGGAATCTGAATTAGTAAAGCTTAATGAATGCAACTGCTAAAGCCTTGTGTGCAGAACACTGTGTTATTCACATTGGGGGATACAGAACAAGGGTGCTCCAGTCCTTGCTGAAAGGACTGTAAAACGTCTGTACCAGATTCATCCAGGGTTCTTAGAAGGTGAGAACATCTGCAGGAAACACTGATAGGCCCAACTTATCAGTGAAAGGCAATTGGCAGTGAAGGCACAGACAACTCGAGACACTCTGCCTGCTGGAGGTTTAGAAAATCTTTAATCTGGAAAATCTCTTTCAAAAAATGTCCCACAATTGGAGGTGTAGGAATACTCACATGGTCTCCTCTGTGGCTTCTACTCAAATCTCATATTTAGATTTCAGCAAAAGTAAGAGAGGGATCAGAGATGTGGACTGGCAAAGCCTGAACAAAGTGTGGTTAGGCAGTGAGCCTCCGGCAAGATCAACACCTTGCTGAAAAAGTGAAGCAGGAGGCATTCAGTGTGTGACGGGATTCACTGTCATGAGGTGACATAATATCTACCACATTTGGCAGCACCTAATGATGCCTAGAGAAAGCATCCCCCATGTGGGCCAAATGCTAGCCCCATGTTTCAGATAACAAAGAGAACCATTCACGTCCCGTGACTTCACAGAACCCGAGGCCCTTCAAACACTTAACCAAGCTGGATGAAAGGCCATGACCTTGGGATCAAAAAAGAAAACAGATTCCAGGTGGGTGGCATTTGGAAAAAGCAGAGTAGTTTATTCAATGCCTAGATCATGGTGGAGAAATGGACTTTGGAGATGAGCTGGCTTAAATTAACTTTATGTCGTAAAAATACAGTGCATAATAAAAATTTGGACCCACTAGATGAAAACCATGCATCTTTTGATGTCCATTCATTCTGTGTTAGATTCATCCTCTATTTGCCTGGGTAATAGTGACTTTTCTAATGAATGCACGTCCAGAATTTCCTCAGAGCCTTTGTTTCTTCTTAGAAAATTATCATTCTGCAATGGAATTAGGATATGGTGTGGGATGAAAGAGGCAGCTGTTAAAAGCCATTAATACCATCCTCCTCCTAGGACATGTGTGCTTGGTGCTCATGATCCTGTCTGTTGTTCCCCCACTGAGGAAACTAACCGGAAAAGCCTGGCATATTAGCATTTCTGCTGGAGACTCAGGCCTCCCAAACCTATGTGAGGAGAGGAGCAGGTTAAGTGAGGAGGTAATGCAGGGCTTTCTGCAGGTCCCTTTCATCTCAGCTTCAGGCACATGCGCACTGTGGATCATTACCATTTGTCTCCTGCTCTTGATCCCACCAACTGTGTTAATGGAATTGAGCCACAGTCCATAGCTTCAGCTTAACTCACACAGTTCTATGGAGGAGTGTTCAATGGCAACTTATGATGTGCTCTGTTTCTTCAATACATTGGTGAACTGAATGAAGACCTAAAAATACTATCACATGTACACTTCTTCCCCAAATGGTCAGTAGGTGGACGGGACATTTAAATCACAGCTTGCAGAGAAATCTTGTAGGAGTAAAATAAAATCCATCAGTAACAAATATGAACTGTGGTATTTGGTAATATTTACAAAAATGAGCCAAAAATATAGAGGAAGGGTATTAAGAGGCAGTGATGGTGGACTACACTGAGGTGTCATGAGAAGCCAACAGTTGTCCTAGAGCATGAAGGAGCCAAGAGAAAAATGGAATGCAATAAGAATAGTATTAATGAAGGATTTTCTTGGTGTTGTATATTTTAATCCTATACATTGTAATGGATTTGTGAATAATGGGAAATATGAAAAAATATCCTGACAGTTTTAATTTTGACATTTGCATAGTTTTAGAATTTCCACTTGAGGAAAGGCTGTAAGATCTGCATTAATGAGGCTAGGTGTGGTGGCACATGCTATAATTCCAGAGATTGCCCAGAGTCCAAGGCCAGCCTGGACTAGATAGTGAGTTTAAGGCCAGCCTGCGTTACAGAGTGAGACCTGTGTCAAACAAACAAATAAACAAACCAACCAAAAAAGGTCTGCATTAATGTTAAGGAAATGGAAAGGTGACTTCTGGACTGTCCCAAAGAAATGTAACATATGGGAAATGATTTCTGCTTTGAATTTTTTATACACACAGAAGACTGAAGACTGTCAAATGTGCATACAGCTTGGGAAAGAGGATGGTGGTAGCAACCCAAGGGTAAACAAGAATCGAAATCGATGGAGGAGTGGGAGGTCCTCATTGGTGGGGGCTTCCCAAAGGCAACAGACAACCTGGTCAGCATGGTCCAAGCGGGGTGACACCATTTTGTGAGTGACATTCCATGATGTTACCACCTTCTAATTCCGTAGTTCTGTTGCAGACCGTTGCTTGGTGCCCTGTGGCCTACTCACTCACTCTTGGCAGTGTCTGAGCCACAGGCAGAGCCTTCAGCTCTGAGCTTTGTACTTTCCTTTTGTTTTTATTGTGACGAACTTGCAAGTGTTAAGTGGTGTGGATCAATTTTTTCTCAACAGTAAGTTGACACCTTTAGTTTTTGTCATTTTCAGTCCTGATAAAACCTAGTTCGTATCATTTAACGTTGACTCATCCTGTGTTTGGTTTTCCCAAGCTCCACCTTTTCTGCCGGCCAGGCCACAGAGGCCACCATGGCAGCTGGCTCTTTGTGTGCTCCCAGGGTGGGAATGAGCACCCTGGAGAGCAACCAGGGGTCATGCTGTCAGCGGGAAGGGAGCAAGCCACAATTTGAAGACCTCAAAGAAGGTTTTCTTCCACTGGAATCTCCTGCCTACATCCTGACCAAATTGCTACAGAAATACAGTAAGTTCTATAGTTTCATAATCACCAAAATGATAAATGATCATTTGTTTTCTTTCTGAGAAATGAAATGCTTGCTTAGCTTGATTCTTCTCTTCATCAAAATAACTTTTGTTCTCATATTGCTTTAATGTAGAAGATAGTATTTTGCTGTCCGATTGCTGAAGATAGAAAACCCACGCTGAAAGTGTTCTCCCCCTTCTTGGGAGCAGAGTTAAAATCCCTATTACTCACTTCTGGCGCGGGCGGGCCAGTGTCTGCTTTCTCAAGAATTGGCCAAGTGATTTTTATTAGGGTCTTCTCTGTACCTTATGAGATCTTGCAGTAAATGCATTGCATCATTGTTGGCCTAATGACATTATTGGACTAATGGTTTTCCATTCTGTTCAAGCTTCTCTTGATTTCCAAGTGACAAAAGCCCATGATGACAATGTTAGGAAAATGTGGTGATAATACACATCAGCTGTTTTATTTTTAATTTAAATTTTTTTTTGGTCTTTTGAGACAAGGTTTCACTACACAGTATAGGTTGGCCTTGAATTCACTTTGTAGCCCAGGTTGGCCTCAAACTTGCAGTAATCCTGCTGCTTCAACCTCCCGTGTGCTGAGATTACGGGTGTGTGCCACCACACCTGGCAACACCAGCTATCTTAAAGGAGCTAAGGAGGATTCTGCTCCTAACTGACACTGGTATCTGTAATTGTTACCATGGAGACTAGGGATTGTCCTGCTGACCCCACTTTCTGAGACCCTAAGGGCCATTTGACCTCTGTGGCAGTTAAGTAGAATACATTTCTGGGGAATCAGGGAATCTGTAGTCCCCAGATTTACTTTTGGAGCCAGTGAACTTTCTGGGATATGGGACAGACAGCAGGTCCAGGTGGACCTGGAACTTCTCAGTTGCAAGACGTAAGGTGGAACTGAGAAAGACAGTATGTGAAGGAGACCCCTGGCCACAGTAAAGCCCAAGCCCACGGGCAGTCGCCTGCGCAGGAGCCCGCCGGCCTGTGCAGTGAGAGGGGCTGCGCTGACTGATGAGTCCTGGGAACTGAGCAGCACGAGCAGAAGGCATCTTGGCCCCTGTGAATCGGGAGTTTCCTCAGTGACCTACAATTTTTAGTTCAAAAATTTGTTGTCAATGTTTTTTCAATTGAAAAGCCTAAGAGGAAAGTAAAATTGCAACCATGTTGGGGAAGTTTGTTTCAGGAAAGGGAAAGCTGCGTTTCATTCCCATCTTTCTTCAGAATTAGGATATAATTGCAGTAAAAAACGTTTGAAGTACACTCAGCGGGAAGACTTCCCCTCGGGTGCTGTGGAGGTCACAGTGTGTGGGGCATGGTGTTGGGTTCTGGGGGCCCAGTGTAGGTTACTTGTCCTCCCAGCCACTTGCATGCCTCTGCTCTTCCCATGGCCTAAGGCAGTGCCTGCCTCTTTGAGTTGTGATAAACACATGAGTGAATTCCAATAAAGCCAAACAATATATCCTGGCACAGACTGAACTCTCATAGTTCATTGCTCTGTTCCTTGTGCCTTACCACAGAGTGTGTTATTGTGGGGGTATATTTTCAGGTCCTTGTTTTCTTACACATTATGTCATACATATGTTTTGAGTAGGATTTTTCAATTTTTGGAAGACTTGTGCCTTGTTGAAACACTAACACAAGGGATTGTGAGCTCCAGTAAAAGAGTAATAGGGATCTCTTCTTCATCCTTGGCTTAGTGTTTGAATGAAGGGGCTCATGGCTTGGCAATGATCCCAGTCCTGGGTTCAGAGCCAGACCTCAGGGGATGAGGATCCTGACTCTGTGTTACCAGTTGAATCTTTCATCAGTTTACTTGACTTTAAGCTTCACAACCCTTGCTTCTAAAATGGGGACTATTAATGTTGTATAGCTGAGCAGCTGTGAAATAAAAACTTGGTGCTCCCTACAAAGAGCCTGGTACTGCAGCTTGGCGTGTCCTTGGCACAGACACTGCCTCCTCCTCTTCGAAAAGCATCTACAAGAGGAGGCCAAGCGGTCCACTGAGGCTGCCGCCTGTATCTTTTCTCAGAGTCTCTGAACAGTGACTTCCCTGAGCCTCTGCTCAGGAAGAAGCAGCAGAGTGAGAAGGAGCAGCAGGCGTCACTGGCTGAGAAGCTCAGGTAAGGGGTTTCTGTGCTAGGTGGGTGGGAAGGTGCATGAGTCCCTGAAGAGGAGCTTAGCCTGGAGACCAATACCTGTCCCCAGCCAGCAGAGGGGGAAAGTCACAGGCAGGCACATGTTTCACAATTTTTTGTAAAACAGGGAACAAAAACATAGTAGATGGTAAAATAATATTGTGATTGATCTCCTTTGCAATTCACATAATAAGATCAAAAAATTAAGCTATGTGACAAGTGATGTAGTCCCAACTATTCATCCCGTGCCATCATTACTTTGTTTACTGTTCCTCAAGCCATCTCCTGTCTCATAGTGCTTGTCATTCTTTGAGTCAGAAGAATCTCTTCTCTCTGATCCTGTCCAACTCTTCTTCTTCTTCCTTTTTTTTTTTTTTTTTTTTTTTCAATTTTTGAGACAGATTCCCATTATACAGTTCAGGCTGGCCTTGAGCTCACTTGGTAGCCCAGGCTGGTCTCGAACTTGCAACGATTCTCCTGCCTCAGCCTCCCGAGTGCTGAGATTACGGGCGTGAGCCACTGCACCCGGCTTCATGGTCTTTCTTCTTCTACAGTTAACCCCAGCTCTCTCTGGGGCATCTCTGCTAGGGCTTTGTGTCCCGCCACTGAACAGTACACTGTCTTGTGTTTGCAGAGAAACATTCATGGCCCCTTGAGGATCTGAAAGGGCGTGCTGTTGTTAGATTTTTGAGATAAGGTCTTGCCATGTAGTCCACGCTGGCTCCGAATTTATGGCAGTCTTTTCCTCTTAGTCTCCCGAGTGCTATAATTATAGGCATGTGCTACTGCATCCTACCATATCGAAAGGGTGTCTTTAGGAAGTATATTTAGAGAGACACCTGACTCTGATTATAGGAAACATTGTGGAAAGATGAGAGGAAAGTTGTGGAATATCACAGGTACATTTTCTAGCCCTCAGGAGACCTTTGCTTTATTTCGTTTTTATTTGCCACAAGTAGATCACCAAAATGTGCTTTAATTCAGCTTCACTGGCTTCTCAGCAATTCCTCACAAAATCTCTGTCAGTGCCCATTTAATGTATTTTGCAACTGTCGTGTTTATCTTTTTGCTATATTCCACTCAGGGAAGCCAGAATCCTAATTCAAGATCAGAAGCGGAAACTGTTCCTGTTAAGACAAAAGTTACATCATGGGAGAGAGGTGTCCTTTCCACTCAGTGAGCTTCTCCGTGACCTCCTCAAGTTCGATGACTCTGACAGTGATCAGGGGCAGGGCCTCCGAGACGAACTTGTTGAGGCGCACAGGCTGGCAGAGCACCTTCTGTACAAGCTCAGCCCTGGTGAGATGACCGCAGGCCCTGATTTTACTGAGTTGCTCCCAGGTCCCCAGCTCTTGGGACACGACACTCAAGAGTGCCTTTTTAAAACCAATTTGGGTGTCAATGTCATATTCAGAGGCATGGCACAATCAGGATTGCCTGAGTGGAAACACAGGAGACGAATTCAGAGTGTGGACATCTTAGAAGTCCAACTGTGTCCTTTGCCCCTAAGGAAACATACCTGGAGGTGAGGAGGCAGCTCCAGTGTGAAAGCAGAGCAGACAATGTGGCAGGAGAGAGCTCCTTGGAGAGGAAACTTCTTTCGGCAAAGAAGAAAACTTTCCCACTCTTCATATAAGTGGTTTCTTTATTACTGTGAATGATAAACCATTGTATTTTTTAAAATTTTCTATCTCTATGGCCTATAATAAATGAACCATATGGTATAGGAAGCTATCTTACATGGAAATAGAATATTCTCGGGAGCACGTAGGCATTGGTTCTGGTGTTTGATGCCACAGCATTGTAGCAGAAGATGCCCCTCCCCACTGCAGTTTGTGAGTTGCCCGGGTGACAGTTTGTTTGTGATACAGTTCCTGTTACTTTTGTTTGTTAGAAACGACTGGTCACATGCATATTGTAAGAACCAGTGTCCAGTTAAAAAGCCATTGTGCTCTGCACTTCTGCTTGCTTGTTCCATATAAGCCCTAGTCCACCAGAGATCAGGGCCTGATATTCTGGAAATGATCCCTATCAGTGCCCATCAACGGAAATAAATCTGCCTCCAGATCCTGGGTGTTGTTTCAGTGTTTCTGCTTGCTGTTGCATCCACAGATGAGGGAAATGTTTCTCTATTCTTTAACACCTTTCCAAAGCAAGCATGAAATGCGAGCCACCTGTAGTCCACCTTCGTGACAGGAGACATGGTAGCCCTAAGGTAGCTGACATTTTCAATATCTGTTCATCTGGGTGGCATATGACATATTTTCTTTGCCCATTTAAACTCAGTACTTGCCATTAAGGGAACCCTTCAGATCAAGGGTTCCCATGTAGCCTCCTGATTCAGTTCAGAATTCCAAGGTAGACCATTTAAAAAATAAAAGGGAAATGCCAGGCCTTCCTGAACTCATCTCCACAAAATGTCTGTCTCTGTACTTGATAGGCCACTGTATTTCTATCAGCTGATGAACTGAATTTCCAAAAGTCTGAATGGGCTGTTTGTTTAATTTAATTGTTTAATTTCCAAAAGTCTGAACTGGCTGTTTTTCATTTGTTTGTAGACAAAGGTGAACGTGCATTAGGAGAGGATGATTTGGTGGAATCACTGGCCCTAAGGTAACACTGAACAGGCGAGAGGATGATTTGGCAAACTATGGAGAGGTATTGGAAAACACACCCCAGCTGGCCAATAGAGAAAACGACTGCTGGTGACACTGGGTCCACGCGCTTAAGCATGCTGTAGACCTTGCTGGGGGCACGTGATATTTGCTGAGTGTGTGTGGTATCTGAGTCTGTCCCACTCAAAAGGAAGGACACAGGTTTATGAATGTCCTGACATTTCGGCAATAATTCATTCTCTTGTGAAGAGCTGAGGGTCTTCCTGAGACATTTGCATTTTCAGCATGCTATGACTTCCCTTCATGGAAGGATTCATAGCAAGCGAATAAACTACCCTCAGCCCCAAAAAACCTTTATACCCTGTCCTAACAGTAAGACACAGGTGTCTGACGTCTTTAAAGAGCTCAGGAGCATGTGTACCCTAGGCCATTCCATGCAAAATAGAATATGAAAAGAAAAAACCACTGTTCACCACAAAATAAGCGGAGTCATACTTGCAGGGATTTTGGGTAAAATCTCACAGAAAGCTGCCAAAAGTGCTCATCAACTTTCACTGCCATTTCTAATATAACCCTTTCTTCTATCCCACTAGAGAGAATCAACAGAACCTCCAGTCCCGGGACACTGAAGTATCCAAGAGACAAGGCCATGGAGAAAAACAGGCCAAGGAGAGCAAGCCACCTGAGAACCTCTCACATGACCTCCAGTCAGGTGAGGGAATCAATTATCTCTGCTACCACGAATTTCTCTGAGGTCCTGGCCCACGGGCTACACTCCACAACAGGCATTTCCTCAGGCTCACCCTGTCACAGGAAATTTGCACTGTGAGAGAAAGGAGCCAGTGTGAAAGGACAGGAGGCAGTTAGTGAAAGGCATAAAGCTCTGGGCAGAAAGCACATTAGAATTTCCAGGCTCTGTCCTTGGTGGGGTCTTGTCTTTGTCCAGTGTGAGGAAGTGGTAGATAGGATCCTTCTGAAACATCCATTTCTTCATCTGCCAGATGGCAACTCATGTGTTGCATTCTGATTGTGGTGTCTAACATGGAGGAAATTGCCTAATTCACTTCCGGAAGCCTAAAGGTCCTGCATGGCAGGTTGGATGACCACTGTGATGCGGGGGACCTGAGAATGGGCATGTTGGCTTACACTGAAATGCTGCTACACGGAGATCACTCCTGGAGAATCAGCACAAGCTCCCCTGCAGAGCCGTGTGGGACAGATAAGCATAGAGGGATTTGGGTCACACTATTTGTCTTGTCTTAGAGAAGGGCATTGGTTCTGTGTGAGAGCTCTGATGTGACACTGACTATGGGACTGTGCACTACACTTGTGGCCTTAAGGAGGACACTGTTGGACATGTCCAGTGGGAATCTGGGCTAGTAAATGGAATCCTGGGAAGAAAAGGCTTTTTAAACTGTATCCCACCTCTGCCGAGAAGAGGCCTTGGTGGCAATTCGACATGCCAAAGATTCTCTTCTTTAGGATCATAAAACCAAGCTAGATAGTTTCTCTAGGGACAAAGTGTAGGACATTCACTACAACTCTGTCAGTTTATTCTAAACTGGTACATGAATGTTCACATCACTATATCCAGATAGGCCCTGTGACCCAGAACTACTTTGTGTCTGACTGGCTGTTTTTGAATTTGCAGGAAATAACAAAGATATACCGGAAGAAGTGCCATACAAGACACATTCCATGGCGATTGATAAGAACAGGTAAAATGTGGAAAGCGTCCCTGAGCACAGTAGACTGTGGTCAGCTTCATGATGCTGTGGAAGCATGAGCTGCAGACGTCACCAGTTTGATCCCCAGGCCCAGCCAGGCCCTAGTCACTCACAAAGGTTATGTCCTCCCCTCTGACCTTGTAGAGTTAGTGTGAGTCAATGTTAGGACATCCCCTGTCCCTCCACATCACAGCTGTCCCCTTGTGTCTGGTAACTCAGCAGGGTGAGGCTCTCCTGCAATGACACACTTCCCCTTAGGTGACTGTCAAGAATTTTACAGCACAATGGTCCTTATTGTGTCCAGTGTCACAAAATTTAAAGGAACAAAACCTCAAGGCCTGTGCCATTGCATGTCTGTAGGATCTATGCTGGCTAATGTATTATATTTTAAAAAATCAATGTAGTTTCCCAGAATGTACCTGAATTGTGCTTTGAAGGCTTCCACAGGGCCTTCTCCTCCAAATCTCTGTCAGTGTCCTTGTGGGTTGTCTGCATTGAGTTGTAACTATCAATTTTTTTCACCTCTATTCTGCCTTAGAGATTTTCATCTTTCTCTGAAATATCATGAAGAAAAAGTGGCGCAGGAGTTGAAGCAGCGCTTGGGGAAGAAAAGAGACGCTTGCATCATGCTCCATCAGAACCTCAAGTGCCTCCTCACCAGAGGTGTCACTTATAGACACCACGAACAGTTGCCTCAGTGGCCCCAGCTCATGGATCGCCTTGCATGCAGGCTCAGGCGAGGTGAAGTGGCCTCAGCCCTCAGTACCACTGGGCTTCTCCAATGTGCACTGCTCTTACGAGATTCCCTCACAGGAGCCTAGTATGTGTCTGTTCTCCTGTCTCCATTTTGCTGGGAGCCTTGACAGATCAGAACTATCTCAGAGGGAGGATAGAGAAGAAACATACAGTGGGGAGGCCGTGGCTCTGAAACTCTTGCATTTTTCCCTGTATCTTCATGGGAAGATGAAGCTCGGCTTGTCAGATTGATAGGCAACCTCGGCTGAGATGATTTCCCTGGCTCTCATGCTGACTTTTTTGTGTGTGTGGGGTAGAGATGGAGGGATCCAGGGTTTCTGTTTCCTCATGTCTGTGTGGCATGGAAGTTGTCGCATTTAAATTGGGAAATATCACTAGTGTTCTTTTAGTAAGATATAGACAGTCACAGAGTGTGGTGTGGGGACTTGATGTGTAGTGGAGTGCGGTGACAGGATGCTGGTTATCCTGCAATGATTAGGAGAAAACACAGAAAATTTCCCTCGAGTGAAGACAGAAGTGGAACAGAGGCAGCTTAGGAGACTTCAGGTCTATGAAATGTTGAGGTGGGGCAGGATTTTTTTTTTCTGCCTTTCCTTCTCCAAAAGATTAAATTTTCTTGAGACCAGTGGTGAGATGCAGAGCTGCTGACCCTGCAGACCTCCTGTGTGGCAAGAGAGAGGCTCAGTGCAGAAGTCCAAGGGAGTTGGACTGCTCCAGTATCCATTCATCTGGGTGGCATATGACATGTCTCTTTGCCCATTAAAACTCAATGTTTGCCACTAAGAAAATCCTTAGATCCAGGTCGCATAGCATCACAGCTCAGAATCCCAAGGCAGGCTATTTCTTTTAGAGAAATGCCAGAACACCTAGACAAAATGTCTGTCTCTGAATTAATAGGCCACTGTGTTTCTATTAGCAGATAAGAACTTCCCAAAGTCTGAACTGGCTGATTTTAATTTGTTTGTAGAAAACTGTGAATATGAAGAGAAAAGAGAGGAAAACTCATTGGGATCGTTGGCCTCAAGGTACCACTGCTCAGGGGAGGGGTGATCATGCAAACTATGAGAGGGGATAGAAAATCATGCACTAAGATCCCAACAGATGAAGAAACATTGGTGGTAGCTCTGGGTTTATTCATGCAACCACACTGCAGAGCCTGTGTTTGGTGTTTATAAGTCTGTCCCACCTAAAAGCAAAGACCCAGGTTTAGGAACCTCTCAACCTTTCAGCAATGACTTGTTCTCTTCTGCACAGCCAAGAGTTTGTGTGAGATGCATGTGTGTTTGGCATGGCTCATGTTTGCTGGAAGGAAGAGTCTCATACCAAGTGAATAAACTACCCAAATAACCCTTCAAATCCTGTTCTAACAGCAAGAGAAGAGCACTCAGGAGCCCCATGGCATCTGGGGTTCCCAGATTAGGTTCATTCACACATAAAGCCATGTTATATAGTCCTGGACCATTCCACGCAAAGTAGAATATGAAAAGAAAAGACTACTGTTCACCACAAAATGAGCTGAGTCATACTTGGAAGGTATTTTGAGCAAAGTCTTACAGAAATCTGCCTCAAATTGCTCATCAACTATCACTACGCCATTTCCATTCCACTCACATCTTCTATTCCACCATAGGAAGAATAGAGATGCCACCCTGAAGGTCAGTGGAAATCAAAAGAACCTCCTGTCCCGGGACACTGAAACACCCAAGAGACAGGGCCATGGAGAATCACAGGCGAAGGAGTACAAGCCAGCAGAGCGCCTCCTACATGACCTCCTGTCAGGTGAAGGAATCGATGATCTCTGCTACCACGAATTTCTCTGAGGTCCTGGCTCGCGGGCTACACTCCACAACAGGCATTTCCTCAGGCTCACCCTGTCACAGGAAATTTGCACTGTGAGAGAAAGGAGCCAGTGTGAAAGGACAGGAGGCAGTTAGTGAAAGGCATAAAGCTCTGGGCAGAAAGCACATTAGAATTTCCAGGCTCTGTCCTTGGTGGGGTCTTGTCTTTGTCCAGTGTGAGGAAGTGGTAGATAGGATCCTTCTGAAACATCCATTTCTTCATCTGCCAGATGGCAACTCGTGTGTTGCATTCTGACTGTGGTGGCTAACATGGAGGAAATTGCCTAATTCACTTTCAGAAGCATAAAGGTCCTGCATGGCAGGTTGGATGACCACTGTGATGCGGGGGACCTGAGAATGGACATGTTGGCTTACACTGAAATGCCACTACACGGAGATCACTCCTGGAGAATCTGCACAAGCTCCCCTGCAGAGCCCTGTGGGACAGACAAGCATAGAGGGATTTGGGTCACACTATTTGTCTTGTCTTAGAGAAGGGCATTGGTTCTGTGTGAGAGCTCTGATGTGACACTGACTATGGGACTGTGCACTACACTTGTGGCCTTAAGGAGGACACTGTTGGACATGTCCAGTGGGAATCTGGGCTAGTAAATGGAATCCTGGGAAGAAAAGGCTTTTTAAACTGTATCCCACCTCTGCCGAGAAGAGGCCTTGGTGGCAATTCAACATGCCAAAGATTCTCTTCTTTAGCATCATAAAACCAAGCTAGATAGTTTCTATAGAGACAAAGTATAGGACATTCACTACACTCTGTCAGTTTATTCTAAACTGATGCATAAATGTTCACATCGCCATGGCCAGATGGGCCAGCGTGACCCAGAACTACTCTCTGTCTGACTGGCTATTTTTGAATTTGCAGGACATAATGAATACCAGCCAGAAGACCAAATAATGCATGATGTATGTTCCATAGCGAATGAGGAGGGCAGGTAAAATATGGAGAGTGTCCCTGAGCCCAGTAGACTGTGGTCACCTTCATGATGCTGTGGGAACATGAACTGCAGAAGTCACCAGTTCCATTCCCGGGCCCAGCCAGGCCCTAGTCACTCACAAAGGTTATGTCCTCCCCTCTGAACTTATAGTTAGTGTGAGTCAGTCTTCTGAGATTCCCTGTCCCCCCACATCGCAGCTATCCCCTTGTGTCTGGTACCTTGGCAGGGTGAGGCTCTCTTACGATGACACACTTCCCCTTAGGTGATTGTCAGGAGTTTTACAGCATAAAGGTCCTTATCGTGTTCAGTGTCACGACATTCAAAGGAAAATAAACTACAAGGGTCTGTGTGATTACAGGCTTGTAAGATTGACCCTACCTAGTGTATTCACATTTAAAAGTTGATTTACACTTCCTTGGAGTGTACTGAAATTGTGTTTTGAAGGCTTTCACAGGACAGTGTCCTAGAAATCTCTGTCAGTGTCCTCTTGAGTTATCCATGTCCAGTTTTGACTGTACATTTTGTTTTTCTGTATCCTTGCAGTAGGAATTTACAACCTGCTCTTCATAGTCAGGGGCAAGCCCTGGCCCTGAAATTAAAGCATCGATTTCAAAGAAGTAGAGATGAATGCATCTTTGGACGTCAGCGTCTCAAGTGCCTTCTTGCCATACCAGTCCCCGACACACAGCGGGAGCAACTAGCCCAGTGGTGCCAGTGGGCTGCCCACCTTGCCTGCAGGCTCGATAAGGCTCGGCCTCACCAAGATACTCAGCACCTGTGAGGCTGCACCACTCAGGCCAAGGGTGTGTCTGTTTTCCTGGTATCTGCATTTTCTTGGGAGCCTGGCCAGATCAGGACCACATTGCAGGGAGGACACAGGAGAAACATGCTGGATGGTGGCCTTGGCACCACAATTCTTGCCTCCTCCGTGCTGGGATGCGGTGTGGGTAGCAGGCAGCATCTTTCCAGCATCCTCACAGGAGGGAAATTTGGCAGAGGGAGGCTCATTAGATTGTGAGCAGCTCGGCTAAGATGGATTTTTCTCAGGTGCCCTCAGGCCAAATTTATAGTGGGACAGGTGGAGATTGATGCTCTCAGATTTCTGTTTCTTCATCTCTAAGGTGGTTGTGTTTGTGTTGCATGGCAGTTGTCACACTGAAATAGGGAAGTGTCACTAGGGTAACACTTCACATAAGATATGGGCATTCACAGGGTGCGGTGTAGGGTCCTGATGCAGTAGAATGTGGTCCTGGGACTCCTGATGTACACTGGAATGCTTAACAGAGGCCGTGGAGAGACTTTCCATTGAGCGAAGGGTGAAGCAGGATGGAGGCCACATGTGTACGGACTGTTGGCAGCATTTTTCCTCCTTTCCTTTGGGAAAGGAGTTGGTTTTCCGTGAGAGGCACGGGGAGATGTGGAGCCACTGACCCTGAAGCCCGCCTCTGGGGAAGCCTGCAAGGAGCTGGTTGTCTCCACTGTCTGTGGTTCTGAGTAACATCAACAAGATTGGGCCACTGAGCCTCGTGGTTTGGTTCAGATTGCCTTGCAGGCCATTTCTTTTCAGACAAACTTATCATCTTTCTGAATATGTGCAGAAAACGTCTGTGTCTATGTCTTTATAGGCATATTTTTTACTCCCAGAAAATGAGACGTGCTTCCTAACGTCCTATGTGGGTTTTTTGAATTCGTTTTTTAGGAAACCGTGAACTTGAAGAAATTTGTGAAGAATTTGGAAAATATTTATGATGCCAGGAAGCCATGATCTCTGGATTTTACCATTTCATTCACCCACCCAGTCCCATGACCTGTTCCTTTGTTGTTAATTCAGTTTGTTTTAAATCTAAAATAAATAAAATTTATACTCTCATGTTTCTCTAATCTACAGTTCTCTGTTTATTGTCTTTTTATCTTTCTCTTCCCTGTGATTCTTCCTCTTTGTCATTTACTTGAGAATATTGAGGAGCTTTTCCTGCAGGGTTTTCTGCAATTTGTATTTGTCCAATTTGTGCCTTCGTGTATTTTACGTCTGCTTCTCTTCTGTTTGTGTTAGCACCTACAGCTGTGTCCATGGCTGGCTAATAAGGAAAAGCAGAACCCTCCCTTGGAATTAAAAACATTTCAGCAGCTACATTTTAAAATCTCAGAAACAGAAAACCCAACAGAAATAATCCTTAGCACTATTTACATAGTGATAGAAAAACGTATTAGAAAAGCTATAAATTTTTTAAAAAGATTGCTTCAATTATTCATTTACATTGAAATGAGTTGTAAATGAAATAATCCTGTGATTTCACTTCCTCATTCCTCTGGCCTCCTTTCAAATGGTCAACAGACAGTGTGGCCCACAGCTGCTCTGTGGAATGAAACTTGGGAATTTTCTGCTGTAAAGTTCTTGCAAGTTGGTCATATAGATAACGCACTGTCTCCTTTTTCATTACCGGAACTGGAAGGTCTTGGCGTGTTGGAAGCGCATGGTCGTGGCAGGAGAAACTGAACCCAGGGAAGCAGTGCTGCCCTTCATAGGACAGGAAGCTGTACTGCTCCAGCAAATGGCTGCTAGAGAGTGCCAGGGTTAAGATCGCAGTTTGTTATTAGCCTGCAGTTATTTCAGAAATGCAATATTAATGGCTTGGCATTTACCTCAGCGGTGTAAGCGCCTGCCTGGCAAGTGTGAGGTCATGAGTTCGATCCCTGGTAACAAAGAAAGAAAAAGAAATGCACTATTATCTGGTTCTTAGGGGACAGGGGATGAATATAAGGTGAAAGGGAAATGTCCATATTGCTGAGATAAACTTTCTGTTTCCACACTGCCATTTGTCCCATTTTTGTCTTTTGACTGGAAGAGAACTCCTTCCTTCCAGGTGGGGCGAAGTGTGCCCAGTGACCTTAGTGTGGCCAGGTCCAGCTCCGCAGGTCTGAGTGATAGTCTGGGCTTATCTGGACCTCCCTGATCCCATAAATAAATAGTCTGCAGAGAAGAAGTGACATAGTAGCATTTCAGGGGATTGCTGGTGACCACCTGCTCCTCATCGCCAAGGAAACCAACCAGGGAGTCATCTCTGATGGAACATTTGTATTTAAGACTGTTTTCTTCACTTCATCAGTCTCCTCTGATAGTTTACTCTCAGCCTCCAGGAGCGGGTGGGCCACCCATTCAACACTTTGTCTGCATTTCTCCCTGGCTAAGTATCCAGTTTTATCACTTACACATTGTACCATTCACAAAACGCTAGGACAGGCTTTCCACATGCTGTTTGCCATGTTGTAACGAGGATGCCTTTCCTACAGTTTTCCATCGCCTTCCTCATTTCATCGCGAGACTTCACCACGGTGACCATTGCATATATTTCTAGCTTGCACGTGAAGAACTCTTCCAGCCTCTCTCTGTTACCCAGCTCCAGTGTGCTGCCATATTCTTGGGTATTTATTAGAACAACATCCCACTTTTTCCCAAACCTTATGTCAGGGTTTGTAGAGAAACAGAAAAAAGTTTATGTAAAATAAGAAATTCATTCAGTATAGACATCTACTCATTTCATTCAGTAGTGAGATTGCTGAATTATATGCAGTTCCAATCAATGTATAAAGGCAGAAAAAGACCACTTGTTAGCTGGGTTTGGTGGCACACGCCTGTAACTTCAGCACTCCGGAGCCTGAGGCAGGAGAATTGTTCCAAATTTGGGACTAGGCTGGGCTACAAGATGAACTCAGGGCCAGCCTGAACTGAGAGTGAGACTCAAAAAGATACAAACAAACAAACACCATTACCTAAAACTAGTGAGGCGGGAGTATTTTATTTCTCTCTCAGTCATAAGACAGCCCTGCTGATGATGTTCCACTCCAGACAGTGGCCAGTGGTCACGCACTGCAAAGGAAAGAGTGATATCACGATCACTTTCCGCTCCAGGGCCCATGATCCACGGCAGAATGAGTGGGCATCTTGAGACATTACAACTGCAAAAATGCAAAAGTCCAGCCAGGTGTGGTAGCTCACGGCTGTAACCCCAGCACTCAGGAGGCTGAGGTCGGAGAATCCTTGCAAGTTCAAGACCAGCCTGGGCTACAAGGTGAGCTCAAGTTCAGTCTGAACTGCGTAGCAAGACCCTGTCTCAAAAAAAGACAAAAAAAAATGCAAAAGACCATTCGAAAATATTATGAACAACCGCACATCAGCAGGTGAGGAAACCTACACTAAGTGCATTCATTTCCAGACACAGATATCTACTAAAACAGCAAAAATGTATGGAAAGCCTGAGCAGATCCAGCATGAGCTACAAGTTTGGATCAGTGAAGTTTTCCAACAAACGACAGCTACAGATAAGGTAGCCTGACTACTGAATTTTACAAATCATCTCAAACACAATGAACATCAGTTCTTTTTGTTCTGTTTTTTAAGACAGAGTCTCTCTTTATAGCCCACTCTGGCCTTGAGCTTGTGATGATCTCCTGCCTGAGTCTCACAAGTGCTAGAATTACAGGCCTGAGCCACAACACCTGGTTCAGTTTTTAAAAATTCTAAAAATATGGAAAACTTAGGAGTTCTGCCAAATTCATCCTATAGGGCAATCCTGACTGGTATAATCACAGACACTCCACACATACACATAGGGAAATCACAAATAAATATCTTGAATCAACATAGATGTAAACATTAAGAAAATACTAGCAAACAATCCAACAGCACATCAAAAAATTATACTCCAGGATCGAGTAGTATTTATCCCAAGATGCAAGAATGGTTCAAAACACACAAATCAATTTAAAAAATTACAGCACATGACCAGACTGAAGGCCAAAAACAATATGACAACCTCTATTGATAAAAAGAATTATCTCTTAATGATGAAAGTCCTCAAAAATTAACTGGAGAAAGCACATGCCTCAACACAACACAGTAAATATCATAAGTCTACAGTCAAAATCAGGGTCCAACGATGGAGAAAAACAACAACCAAAAACTGCATATTCTCACTCATTTGTGGAAGCTAAAAATACGATCACATGGAGACTACAGTACAGACTGACAGTGAGGCCAATCAGTCTCAGTTCCTTAGAGGGACTTAGAGTACCAGAATGGGATAGCATATTTCGGGGAGGTCAGCACCATTCAGAGATTATGTAAGAAACAACAAGGTCCTAGGCTAAGCGTGGAAAGACACCTGGAGATCACCCAGTTCACCATAGGGGCTCAGAGATCTCAGATGTGTGATGTAGACCCAAGTCCAGCCTTGGTTAGCCCAGCAGAGCCGGCCTGGGTCAGCTGGGGATCTGTGAGCAGGGCCCACTGAACCCCTACTCGGCAATGTCCAGCCACCACTGTTTCTCTATTCACTTTGGCTCAGTTTCAGAGAGTTCACTCCCTGGTGTGCTGTCTCCAAGGCAGAAAGGACGTGGTAGAGGAACATGGGAGGGAAAAGATAAAGGCATTAAAGTTTCTCCAGTCAATATTAGCACAAACCTTCCTTTTCAGTGAACTAACAGACTGTATAATTGACTTGCATTTTCCCCCCTTTCCCTTCCTTCCTTTCCCCTTTCCTTCAACCTAGTTCCCTTTTGTTTTTGAATAATTTCTTCCCATTTCATAATATCTATTGTACATTTTAAATCTTACTTTACTCTTTCAGTTTCTCAACCAGGAAGACGATATGAGTCTGATTTATTTCACTTATGTGTATGGTTGCATTCATTTACCTACAAAAGTTTCAAGTGTATCCTTCTTTATGGCTGAGTAGTACTCCACTGTATAAAAATGCCACAACTTTTTTATACATTCCTCAGTCAATGGACATTTAGTTTGCTTCCACGATTTAGCTGTTACAAATGGTGCTGCTATAAACAGGGTGTACATATATTGCTATGGTATGATGTTTTCAGATTTTCTGAGATGATACCCAGAAGGGGATTAGTTAGTTTGAATGGGACCTATAGTTCTCATTTTTTTGAGGACTCTTCACACTGATTTCCAGTGGTTGCACCAGTCTACATTCCCACCAACAGTAGTGAAATGTTCCTTTTCCCCACAGCCCCTCTAGCATTTGTTATTGCTTGATTTCTTGATAATAAACATTCTTTCTAGGGTAAAGTGGAATCTCAGTGTTGTTTTGATTTGCTTTTTTCCCCTTTTTTTGGTACAAGCAATGGAACTCACAACCTTGTGCTTGCTTGTGCCATTGAGCTAAACTCCTGGTCCTAATTTGCATTTCTTCAATGACCAATGATGTTGAACACTCATCACATATTTATTTGCTGTGTGAATGTCTTCATCTGAAAAGTGTGTGTTCATTTAAGACACCCTTTTTGCGGGGGAGGGAAGAAGATGGCAGCTTGCTAGGTGGCTGGGTGGAGAACCTCGCTGGGAAAAACAGCTCAGACACTGGAATTTGACAACATGGAGAGGGCCAGACGAGTGGAGAGGGATTCTTATGACTGCAGGAGGAACTGAGGGTCCCTGATCGGGACCCAATAGCCAAGGATGGAACTGTCTTGACCCTGTGACGTCAGCACAGCACAGCCTAAGCTGCCGAAGGCACTCGCCGGTGGACTGGCTTAGAGGACAGGGGCCAGCACACATTGTCCTTGCGTGCACCTCAGAAAACAGCAAACTGGAGAGGGCAGCAAGCCCCCAGCCAGCACGCTTCAGAAAAACCTTAAGCAATACAAAGAGGGCCTGAGACCTCCAGCACACACCTGTCTGAAAGAAACCATAAACATGACAAGGGAAAGAAGTAAGAGAAAACCTGCAGCCGCTGACCCTGGGAAAATAAGCCCAGGAGAGGTAAATACAGCAGAGAACCAGTGCAGCA